CAACCAACACTCCCAAGTCCTTCTCCTCAAGGCTGTTCTCCATCCATTCTCCACCCAACCTGCAATTTCCCCTTTGGAGAAGGGCATGGAACCTTGGGTGACTCGAAGGCTCATGTGAAAGAAATGAGCCATGTCTGTAACCAGGAGGAAGAGCAGGAGGAGGGGGACAGCAGGACAAGGGAAGACCTGTCTCTCCATGTCTATGGGAGGAAGCTGGAGCTGCAGGGCTGTGAAAATCCAAAGCAGCAGCTGGGTCTGGTGAAGCAGATGAGTGGATCATAGGGGTAACAATCCCTGTTTGCTGTTCTGTGAAGGTACTGTGTTTGGTGTTAGAGAGAGGCAGCCTTACATTCTCTTACCATTGTCACATCAAAGGGCAGGAGATTAACAAACCCTGACTTTTTGTAGTAAGACAAGTTCCCCAAAACCTCCTGCTGCAGCTTCTTCACTGGAGAACAGTTAATTTCACAGAGTTAATAGAACCACAGAATGTGTGGGGTCGGAAGGGACCTTCACGGGTCGTCTCCTCCAGCCCCGCAGGGCACAGGGACCTTGTCACCTAGATCAGAGCCCCATCAAGCCTGGCCTTGAGTGTACCCAGGGTTGGGGCCTCCACCACCTCTCTGAGCAACCTGTTCCAGTGCATCACCACCCTCATTGTAAAGAACTTCTTTCTAAAGTCTAATGTAAATCTCCCCTGCTCTAGTTCAAGGCCACTGCCCCTCGTACACTCGCTACGGTTCAGGAGCAATAGGACAAAATGCAGCTCATGTCTCCAGGTACCTCTGGTAACTCCCACCTAGAAAAAAAGCCAGGAGAAGACACTTCCCAGGGCCAGAGGAGGTCTGTGTGCCACAAGTGCCTCCCAGCAGAGCCGTGCAGGCAGCTCAGACCCCCCCGCCCGCAGCAGCACCGGGATGGGGCATCACATCCTCCAGCAGGGGCACGTGGGGCAGGTTCTCACCTCAGAGCAGCCCTGTGGTGGGACCTGCCCCACCTGCAAGGCTGACCACCAGCACTGGGAGCACCCCTCCCCTCCACTGGAATGGTGTTTCTCCAGAGCTGTGCTGCTGCTGCCATGGGGCACTGGGGAGCTGCCTTGGACATGGTTTGCAAGGGAAGAAGAATGGTACCTAATGGACCAAAACACAGAATTTAGCTGCAGCCAGCAAACAACCTGAGAAACCTGGCAACAATGTTTTGTCCCTGCTATGGGGCAGAGAAGATTGATTTGTTTCCTATATGTGTGCTTTGTACTACGTGTTCCTCTATCAGAGGTGATTTAAATCTCAGCAGGTGTTTCCCTCTTTTAAAGTGGCATTGAAATCTCTTCAGGCCACTTTGCAAAGTTTCTGGTTACAGATTTTTAGGGACTGTGAACATTATGTTCCTCTGTCGCCTCCTCAGAAGAGGATGTTTGATAAATCAGAGCTGCAATTTCTGTCTTTCCCTTTTTTCCTGAAGCCCAAAGGCAGGTTGCAGAAGTCCCTGAAAGGGCAGCCAGGAGAAGTGAAATGCTCCCTCAGCAGAGCAGGTGGAGGAGCCTCGAGCTCTGCCCCTGCACCTCCCATGGGTCACAACAGTCCCAGTGGCATCTCTGTGCCCAGCACCACCAGCACAGGCTGTGGTCAGTGCAGAGGACAAGTGGCAGGTGCCTGAACCATGTGCTGCAAGTTGCAGATATGCCTAAAGATGTTCTGTGTCAGGAGTTCTCTCCCTCGAGGGTACAGGGGCATCTGGAGCCCTCCAGAGAAGAGCCAGTTCAGGAAGGTCCTGTCCAGCCCCACAGCATCTGTCCCCCTGTCACAGCCTGCCCCTGGTTACACCAACCCAGTCAGATCTCAAACTAGCTTTTCAGAGGTGCGTGCTGGGGTGGTGTCACCTCACAAAAGAAAGGCACCCTGCAGTGCAGCCACCCAAAGGCCAGGGCTGTGTGAAGGCTGAAGCTGCAGCTCCTCTCTAGCTGATGGAGGGGAGCAGCCCTGCCCCACACAGCAGCAGCTCCTGAGCCTCTTGGTCTGATGCTGCTGCAACTTCTCCTTCAGGGGGGTGACCTTGGCCAGCTTTGAATGGCACAAACCTCAGCTGCAGCTCCACAGCATTTCTCCACAGCAGCCACTGCAGATCCCGACTGCAGCAGAAAGTGACCTGCAGCCTGTGAGAGGGGCAGGAGGGTTTCTGGCCCTGCCTGAGCCCCGCCGAGCCCGCGGTGCAGGGACAGGCCCGCTCCGCAGCCCCGGCTGCCGCTGCCTCCCGCTCTGCCAGAGGAAGCAGCCCCAGAGCAGGGGGGGCTTTCCAACCCAGGTGCCCCTGTTCCAGCCCTCACAAGCTGTACCACATCAGAACAAGGGACAGTTTTTAGAAATTTCCCAAGAAAAGGAGGTTGCATTTGGGATCAGTGGAAGAAACTATACCCCTTCAAATCAGCTGTGAGAATGAACGTGTCAGTCTAGCAGCATAGATGGCAGTCTGGTATCCTTATGCATTAATAAAGTTGAAATGAAGAGTTTTGGGTTCTAAAACATTACTGAAATTTATCAGTTCACATGTAGCATGTTTTCATTGTTTTCAAGCAGTGTTTTTCCTTGCTGGCTGGTTCTTCAGGAATGTTCAGGCAGCTCTAAGACAAAAAGGATGTAGGAATTACAGCTGCTGCTGGTCTGAATTTGTCACACATTTCATGTACCCCTCTGCATTTGCAGATAAATCCTTCTTCCCAATATAAGAGAGAAAAAAATTCAGATTAATAAGAAGTTATTTTAATGTCAGAACTGTTAGAACATAGATTGAAGTGTTGTCAGAGTGAAACAGAGACCCAGAGAGTGAAAGCTAGGGCTGAAAATGTCAGACTTAAAATAAATCTAGCCAGGCAAGTTGCATTTCAAATTGTTCCACAATGCTACAGTGACACTCTGAGCAATAATTAAGTTCTCTATTGTTTGCATTCAGTGAAGGTTCTTTTAATATCCTGTAATTTATCATTCTAAAACTGAACAGAAATGTAATTCTCTTCGTTCTAAATAGAGCTGTAATTGTTAAAGAAATGGTAAAATATATTAGTAATTCACTCCTAACTGCTGCCATCCTTATTCCTGGGACATGGTTCGGTAATTTGTTAATGAGATAGTGCTTCATTAGGACCAATGAACGTTCCCTTTCATGGTCACATTGATGTTCACCTGAGCAGTCTTGGGCCTTTTGCATGTAAACAGAGAACAAGCTCCAGGAACTGGGAGCCTTGCAGTTAGGAATTAGCTGACATCAGCAAGACAGAAAGGAGAAAGAAGCTACAGTCAGGCTGCTAGAGAGTTCCTTCTGCAACTAGGTGTTATGGTAACAGAATAAATCTATCAAATCCACGGATAACGGGCAGGTAACAACAGTGATCAGCACTCAGCAGACCAGTGCCTACTGGTTTCCTAATGAAGGTCACCTTGAATCAAACCAGACTTTACTGGAAACCTCAGGAGTATTATAAATGTCACTTCATGCTACACTGATTATGTTACCATAAAATCAGGCTGAAGCAAACTCTGAGGCTGGAGCTGGAGTTCCAGAAAGCAGGCACCCTTGATGGCAGCGCGGGATGCACGAGGAGCAGCTCCCACAGCTGTGCATAAACCTGGCAGGGCTCAGCTTCCACAGACCCACTTGTGATTCTCAGGAAGACGTAAAAACATAGTAAAATTCATTACAGTGTTTGTAGTTTTACCTCGGTGTGCAGTAGGTGGCTGAAACTCGTCCAGCAGAGACTGGATGGTCTCTGGTTCCCCTTTGTGGCTGTTGGAAGAATGTTTTCCTAGTGACCTTCAGCAGACCCTGCCCACTCGGCTCCCAACACGGGCAGAGTCAGGTGAAAGGTCCGGGTTGTGCCTCTGGGCATCACGGGCTTTGCCAGAATCTCTGTCCCACGAGCTGGGCAGGCTGGGACAGAGTAAATAGCAACACCTGTTGGAAACGTTGGTGCCTCTTCTCACAATGAACCTGGGGTCTGTGGCTCTCCTAGGAACAAGTTCTCACCACACGCAGGAACAAGATACCACACAAGAACAGAATCTCACAAAACAGAACTTCAACCTGGTAATGTCCTGTAAACAAGACAGATTCACCCCAGCCCTAGTGGGTTTCCATAAGGCCTAATTCTACTGCAATCTTTCTATTAAATTTAACAGACCAGTTCTATAGGTATCATACCCCTTGCAAGTTTCTTTCCTTCCAGCACAGACCCTTATTTCATTGCACCTTCTTACACCTCACTCAAAACCCCAGTTACAACAGCTGCACCACTGAATGTGCTACGAGCAGGAACGCACACTCCAGCAGCCACCGTGAGGGTAACGCAGCATCTGAAGCCACATCCACCTCACAGCCACGTCCCACTCACCAAGCTACCGACACAGGTGAGCCTGTGCCATAAATCTTCACGTCCCCACCTCGTGTCATCTTCTGTCACCTGCCAAAATAAGGAGGCTGCTGTGTGCTCTCAGCAGGAGGAGGCAGAATCATGTGAGAAGCTGGGAACAGGAAAAGCAACCTGTAGGAAATCTGTCATAGCAGTGAGTGTTGCCGATGGCTGTCCCAGGGTCTGAAAGGTTCACGACTTAACAAGGAAAGATTTGCTTACTACCCAAGTTGGGTAATAAAGACGGACCTGCTGCCCAGCCCTGCCGGCTGGAAAAGAAGCCGCATCCCAGGAGCCCGCGCTACGGAGGGGGGAACACACACACACACTCATACGCTACACGCGCGCGCACACAACCACAAACGCACACACACGCACACACTCATACACACGCGCGCGCGCACACGCACATACTCACTCATACACACACAAACACACGCGCACACACACTCACACGCATGCACACACACACACTCATACTCACACGCACACAAACACACACGCACATACACACTCATACACACATGCGCACAGAGATGCGCACAGACGCACACTCACACGCGCACACAAACGCACAAACACATACACACACACTCACACACAAACGCACAAACACGCGCACATACACACTCATGCGCACACACAGGCACACGCGCACACACACGCGCACACACATGTCCGCACACGCACTCACACGCACAGACTCACACACACGCACGAGCACACACACGCACACATACACACACGCACACACTCATACACACACGCACACACACTCACACACACACACACTCTCTAACTTTCCTGCCAGCCTCAAATCCTTCCCTTTCACTCCACTGATGCCACACCTCTCCCTCAGAGTGTGCATTGCATTGCGTACATGGTACCTTGGAGTTATTTCCCTGATACACACCCGAACCTTGGCCCCTCAGTTTGCATTAACCCTTAACAAACCGGTTGGTTCGTAAACTAAACCTCGGTCTCGGTAGCAGTCTGTGAGCACCCACAGCCCCTGCACCCCGGGCAGAGGCAGCAGGATCCTGCCAGCCGGGACCCCGCGGCGCTGCTCCCTGCCCTCTGCTGCAGTGTTAGAGCAACATATGCAATGTTCAAAATATTCAGTCTGTACTGGTCGGTGTACCATGTACTTAATTAATAACTACTGCAGTCAATAACTATTATTATCTAAACAAATCAACAAAAGGGTGCCGTTCACAAATCCAATCCTGGGAGCTTAATCCCGAGTCAGAGTCAGTTGTTATTCAGTTATTTACAGTCCGGACAGATCAGCAGAAACGCAAATGACAAACCCTCCCCGTTGAGGTCCGTGGCTGACAAAGGACCTCGCGGGGGAAAAGCCCTCTAAGGAGAAAAGAAACTGTAATCCAGTAAACGAAGCCCAAGAAACCGAGTTACCAAACCAAATGGACAGGGCTTCAACCCCCAAACCGAACAGAGGGGGTCCTCGAGCCTTAAGCATCCCAGCCCCAAAGCAGGGGACCCAGCCCCAAAGCAGGGAACCAGGCC